TCACTCCAACTCTATGTACCAGTGATGGCTCAGTACCATGGGCCACACTAGATAGCCTGTGCGTTCCTAAATATCTCTCAGCAGCTCTCCTGACAGAAATTGCCATGGCCTGCATATGGGTGATGTGCTGCCCTGAGCCCCTTAGAAGATTATCTGTAACTAAAAAGTGGTGTTGGGATTAAACGCTGCTTGGAGAAGGAACAAGGACATGTTTTTGTTGGGCACTACAAAGAAAGCATTTCAATGTACCACAGATGTGTTGTGGTTAAATACTGGAGGAGTGCTGCTTGCCCATCACTCCCTAAAATTAAATTTCAGGTATCACGGTAATGCTACTTTCTAAAAGATGTGGAACGTGCTTAGAAGAAGAACAGAAATAAGGATCATATTTGAGTCTTAGATTGTAAAAACCATGGGCCATAATCTGTCAAACTTCTGAGAAAAGCTGAGCCGCGATAGCAAATTCAATAAATAAACGCAGTAATTTTTCAAATGATCACACTGAGGATGAATGGAAACACCATGGTTTTTCACTACCAACCTCAGATCTGTGTGAGAAAACCTCACAGACCCCACTGCCTGTGTTCTGACTTCCAAACAACCACGGCCAGCCATTGGCAGTGCCGTGCTGCACAACAAACACAGCCCCATAACGAATGGCAAGCATGGCCAACGTTCAACAAAGACACAAGATTTCTACAAGGAATTGCCCTCAATCCTGCAGCTCCCACCCCTAGTGGTAGATTTGCCATGTCTAACCTGAGTCCTAGAGCTGATCAGCAGAGGATGAGGGACACCAGGTGCTGCTATTCTGCCCTATGTGCTCACAGCCCTCGCTGCCACGTTCCAGGCCCGCCTGCTGTAACAAATGAAAAGCACTGTTTAAAATAACTAAATAAGGCACTTGAAGAGGTTTTAAAAATTGATAACTCAACGTACTGTATGAGATCGATCTTAATTACTGCTCATGTGGAATTTTTTTTTTTTTTTTTTTTTTTTCTTCTGGCTTTTTTCAATGGGGGAAAAAATAAAAGAGCAACCATTAACGAGAAACTTTAAAGGCTCGTTAACAATATCCTTTCATCAATCACAAGGGCTGCCAGCGTGCCGCACTCATGTCAATTTTCACCTCGTGGCCCCGCTACCAGGCCCAGGCTCCTGGCCAGCCCTGCATGGATGAGCTGGCCACAGCGTGAGGCTGATGGAGCCCAGACCGCCCCGCTGTCGCCCGCCGGTGCCGCCGGGTCCAGCCCTGGCCCCACCATGCTGCCAGCTGCCTGTTACTTCACACGGGCCAGGGGCTGGTCTGGATCAGCCCGGGGAGGGCCGATAAGGGGTGAAGGGGATGCAGCCTGGACGGTGAAGCTGTGGTGCCGGAGCCAAGGATGGCCCTTCTTGCCCCTCCGGCAACAGCAACGTGGGGGGAAAAAATGAATGCTTGAGAAAGATCAGATTTCTTCTTTGCCAAGAAGAGGGCACTGCAAAAATAGCAAAATTAAACACAAATCACCTGGAAATCCCAGCCTGTAAAAGAGGGGAAGGTTTCGGGTTTTGCTAAGGCGCATCCTGGAAAAGAAATAGAGAGAAAGCTGGGAAAAATGCTATCTTTTCAAGCCACGCATTAATCGTATTTATTTGTTACTCATACCCTGTGCATGTTATTTGAAATAAAAATAGCACATAGTCCTTTGACGAGCTGTATTTGCACATCAATGTAACTGAAATATCCTGTGTGCTGTAATGGCAAGTGAGCACGCTGTCAGTAATATTTTCCATTGTTTTTAAAGCCAGCCACAGCAGCTCAGACCGGAGGCATACAGTAACCCAGCGAGGGCAGGGAGTTTTAAAGGGAAGCCTTCGATTGCTATTTCTGTTCAATTTCTGCAGGAATTATAAAAGGAATTACAATTAAATCTGCAAATGCAATTCTTTGAGGATTTTTACATTCCTGTAAGATTCTTACTAAGCAATTACTCTTGAAATAGTACATAAATCTTACAGGGCTCCCATTGGATTACTGTGCTTTAAGTTTTTAAGCAATCTTCCTGTGGCTTTATTTTTTTACTGCATTTTTTTTAAAGGAAAGCAGGTCTTCAGCACCAGCTATCACAGTGAATCAACATTTTTAAGGCAACATGCATCTCCTTGATTTGGGAGCGATACACAGTACAAATATTATGACTTTTACATATTATAAAACATTGGACAAAATGATTAAATGCAATAATCTGAGAGATTTCTGGAAGAAATAATGATTCGTGATGCTTATAGAAAACATGGGTTGAAATTATTGTGCCTTGTCTATAATTTAATATGTTTGGAAAAAGGTAACACTGTCCTACCAACTACAATGCTGCTCATCATTCAACCAACAAGCCATATAGCAAGTATCAAATATTATGTACAAAGTGCCTGGTGCTCAAGAACTATTTAGTAACACTGAACAGCAACTATATGGGGCAAATCATTCTGGCCCTCATTAGATGTCTAATTCCTCCAAATGAGTTGGTTGGAAGAGTAGTGGGACAAGAAGGTTTGGGGATATATCTAAAAACTGCCTTGTATCTGCCATGAATTGCTCTCCTGTTTAAGATGCTTACAGTATGAGCTCATAACACGGCAAACTCTGCCTCCAAGGAAGTGATCTGTAACAATTCCTGAGCCTGGGGCCCTTCCCCATTTGGTATTGATACATAGGATGCAATCTGCATTTTTCATTCCGGCATAAAACAGTACAACCAGTGTCACCACAATGCTGCTGTAAATCTGACCCAGGAAATACAACGTGTTCCTTTTAAATATTTCCATTGGCCTTACACTGGCTGTAGAGAGTGTTTTGTATGGAAAAAAGAAGGAGGGGGGAGAATGACCCACCGCAAAATTCAGTTTCTTCCATGGTCAAGGGCATCTATTTCATTATAAATGTAGTTCCGCCAAAACAAATATTATTTTTGAATCTTTCATTATCTTAGTCTCTGGAAATGGGCTAAAACAGCATGTGTTGGTATTAGATGCTGCAGAGCCAGCTGTCGTGCCTGGCTGCACAGTGTCTCAATGTCAGCAGTTCAAAGCACTGCGAGGCTGAATGGGAGGAAACTTGATAGGTCAGAGGAACCCAATTCCAGGCAAAAAGAACATAGCTGTCTTGTTTCCAAGCATGATATTTTTTTTTTTTTTTCTTCCCACTGCATGTGCATACATACAGAGATATGTACTGGGATGCCAGTGTTTTAATATCTTTTCCCCACTCTGTTGTTTGCATAAACCCAGCAGTGACCTCAGCTCCGTGCCGCCAGCAGGCTCTGCATGGCGGGGTGAGGAGGCCCAGGACCAGAACCGGCGCTGGGGTGATGTGGGCCAACAAAGGTGACAGGGCCAGGGCCATGCCCCCGCCACCCTGCCACACCATGCCACGCCAGGAAGGGCCCAGCAGTGCCCATCAGTCACGGGCAGCTGCACGCCTCATTTACAGCCACGCTCTCATCTGCAAACAAACCGTGGGCCTAGCGGTTGCTCTCAGGGATTTACAACAGGGAAGGATGAATTTTAATAACTGACGCTGATGCTCAGATTATTGCCACGGAGTGGGGGTTGGCAGCCTCACAGCCCAGTTACGCACATGGTTGTGCCTGCCATGCCAGGGTGGCACCTGCTGGAAGCTGAAAACACAGACACCTGAAAGAGCAAACGTGGCACAGAACGTCGCTGTGGGGGCAAACGTGGAAGAGGTTAAAGTTTACATTTGGTATCGCATCCTTCTGTTGATATCCCGTTATAAAAAAAAATAAAATACCCCCAAACTGTACATATTATAAGGCTATATTTTTATCCTGGGGTTCTGGTGACACGTGCAAACCACTTGAGCTTTGCTTTCGTGGTTTATATTGCCACCAGAAACCCTTGATAAAAATACAGCCTTATATTGTACAGTTGGGTATAGTTTATTTTCTCCATATATCACAAACCGTGTTTTATTTATAAACATACACAAAGACACTTGTACATGCAAAGCAGTTTTTTTATTGAAGTAATTCTGAGATATCAATAATACTACTTTAACTAAAGCACTGTAACACCATAATTTCTTGGTCAGCAAAGGCCCTTCTAAAGAGGCGCCTATGAAAATACGATAAACTCATAAAAAAAAAACAAACAGTATTTCCAGTATCAGTATTAACTTGGAATTTAAGATTCCCTTACTGAAAATTCCAGCTTTCGGTGGCTCGCAATTTCAGAGAACCCTTTCTATAGCATCTCAGAATTCAGTGCTAACATCTCTCCAATCCTTTCTGCAGAGAGGCTACAGGAAACAAAGCTTCACACAACAGAGAAACGGCAACGCTAAAGGAAGGCTATTGCTGCTAACAATGCAACTACGATGAGCCCCATCCAATCCTGTGCCCAAGCTGCACTCACCTAACTGCTTATTTCAAATACCTCAAGCAACTTGCCAGCCTCTACAGCTCCACCTGCTTTTTGCAACGATCACAAAAGCAAAATTTGTACTCCTGCCTTGAGGGCTTCTCACAATCCAGAAAGAAAATCTGTGAACCAGTAACTCAACAGCCACCTCCCCCCGGCTGCCCTTCACCACACCCCACGACGTGGGCTTTACTCAAAAACCATTTCAGCAGCCAGACACCAGTGGGTGGGAGCCCTGGCATGGGGCTGCCCGGGGACACGCTGGCCGCATGGCTCCTCGGCCACCCAGAAGCATCCTCAGAGGGATGCCTGCGCCTCGCGTTTGCCATGCCCCTCCCATTCTCTTATCCTTGCTTTAATGGACATTAAATATAGAACAGGACAGAACCGGGGATGAGAACAAAATACATGCACAACTGGTCTGGACTGCTGCAGTCATTCTGCTGTAAAATGTAAAAACAAGAAAGGGCATACGAGCTGCATCCCTCAGGACGCATCCCGCTTTTTTAATATAGTGGTGCCACCACACATTCCACTTCGGATGTTGCATTATATTTATATGTCACTCAAATATTTACCATTTTTCTGAATTCTGCTGGGTGCTCTGAGAGCTCGTTATAAGCCAAGTTGCTGCAGTCGTGTGCCTTGGCTGTCGAGCAGCTGTGGCTGAGCCGCATCAATCTGCTAACTTCTCTTTCTGGAGCTTCTCGTGTGACAAAAGCCACTCTTTCATAAGGTTTCCTCCTCCATAGTTGCCGATCTGCCCGCTGCTGCAAATCACCCTGTGGCACGGTATGATAATTGGGATCTGCAAAACACACAAAAATAAGAAAGGAAGCAAAGGGTGAAGCAAAGGGGAGTGAAGCAGAAGACGGTGTGAAGAAGGGCTACAAGCAATAAATCAGCTACTGAAGCAGCATTTGCTAGTAGTGGCATGGATTTAAACACGCAGGTTAAAGACTGTGCTGGAGACTCTCATCCACCTGAGAGGAGGATGCAGGAGTGTTGCACCAAGAGCTCTTTTCTTTCTGAGCCTGTATCCCTCCAGGGTACAGACTATCCTGCAATGCCGATGGGCTCTGCTGACCACCCAGCAGTTAGGGGAAAGCATTCAGAGAAATGCTATTACATAAAAACGATGCAATGTCTTAAAATAGCTAAAACCCATGCATAAAACTCCCTATATAAAATCTTCTACGGAAGAAGTGCATGTTCAGGCTCCAGAACTGCACTGCATTGGCCTGCGCCTAACTATATGAAGTTAATGGGATGAATTACAGTTGTGTTGCCCATGCTCTCAAGTGCACAGGCAGTCACTTCCCACCCAGCAGGGACACTTCATGACCCTACACATGCTGAGAGCAGAACCATCCCCAGCTCCCGGCTCTGGGGACACTGAGCAGCCAAGGCATGGAGCCACGCTCCCTGGGGAGGGCAGTGCTGAGCATGCTGATGTGCAATGCCCTTCCCCTTGGAGCTCTGCTTCTGCCAGGCGATGCCTCTGCACAGGCAGCATTTAGGTTGGATGGCATGTTGCAAAGGATAAAAAGAAAGAGCATCATTTAAGACCACGCAGCACATGTAGGCATCTGTGCATTTGCAGCAAGCTCATTTTCACAGAACGAGACATCTACAGCCAGTGCCACCCCAAAACACAGACATGGAGGTACAGGGCAATTATTAACAATCACATCAGGGTTAGAAGAGGCGGCTTTCCTGCAAAAGGAAAACACGAGAGCAGCATGTCCATGAATGAGCTCCATGAGCCTCAGCTCCTGCAGCCAATTCCTCTTCCCTCTAAAGCACCTCAATGTGCTCTGCTGAAAAATTCCATATAAGAACAAGGCATTATTTATTATTTAACAGCAAGTCAATCCAAAATGGGTTTTGAATTTTTAAAACCTACAACAGGAGAGATTTAATTCACACCTAGCCAATTTAAGAACTTCTTCTCATGCCTCCTCCTTTGTATCATTTATAGCCAAATGCCAGGGATTCTGAAAAATCAATGCAAGAAGTTACATAATGGACTGGTAATACAGAGAACTACATAAACACACCTTTTTCTTTTTTTTTCAATCGCAGGTGATTATCATAGTTGAAATACACATCATAAAAAATGCAATACCTCATCTTTAATCACGCAGTGTGTGTTCTGGTAACTACAGAGTAATTCAATTGCAATGACAGACCTGTGAGAAGAATAACTTACTAAAAGCGTGGATATTTTAAGTGAGAGTACATCCATTTATCTATACGTACATAAGCACAAAATCCAGACAGACTTCTCTTTCTCCCATCTCATATTTTTTTCAGTGAAGCTCCAGCTGTGCTCACGTTTGAGCCAAAGACTCAGACCCCCAGACAGCTACAGGCCAGACCTCGAGAAACTATTTTAGGCCAGTTCTTTTGTTATAGATAAGTAATTTAGATGGCTGAAGTTTTAAATCTCAATCTGAGCCCCAAAGCCATCACATTAAAATGGAATACACATAGGTGCTCATTGTTAATCCAGGTTTAATAACAAATGCTTCTAATAGCTGCTTTATTTGGAGCCAGTGGTGCCACGAGTGAATCAGGCATCCATGACAACTCCACGAGTCCCAACAAAACCTCTCCTCTACACCCCACCACCCTCATGGTTTACGACTTCTTTAAACATGCTGTTTTTTGGAAGTGTTCTCTAATTCTTTTTGTTTGGAGTTTTCTCAGGTGTTACAAGCCCCTTGCACCAGTTAGCACAGGCAGATTTTCCTGCATGACAAAGCAATCCCAATCCATAGTAATAAACTCCCCAAGGTTAGATTGCAATTGTTAAAAATATAAAGAATATATCAGGGTGTTTTGATGGTAAAGACACAAATCTTGATGTGGATGGGGGCCCGAAGCTCTTTCTGAGCCAGCTCCCTGTGACTGCTCAGACAGCAAAAAGCCAACAGCCTGTTTGCTGGGAATTTGGTCACAGAAATAAGCCAACACATTTCTAGAAGCACTTTCTGCTGTTAAATTTTGTTAAGAAAGGGAAAGTGAAAAAAAGAAGTACTGTATTGTGCAGAGGAGCAATGCCATCTGCAGCCAGGTTGTCAGCGCACGCTGTGGGTCTCAGGTTTCCTATGATGGCTGCAGGGCAGGTCCCAAACTCAGGGATGTGTGGCTGAGCTGCTCAGCATCACATCAAACATGGAAATCTGGCTTGGGTGGTTTGGAAAGAAATGGGGAATCTCAGATTTCTGCTGTGTTGCTCATCTTTTCTAAGAGAGTGCACGTATATTGGTGAATTGACTTTGTATCCTACAGGAAAGGCACAAATTAATGCATTCTTAGAAAGCACCAACTTTTCTTGCAGAGAATCCTAGAATGGCCTGGGTTGCAAAGGAGCACAGTGCTCACCCAGCTCCAACCCCCTGCTGTGTGCAGGTCACCAACCAGCAGCCCAGGCTGCCCAGAGCCACATCCAGCCTGGCCTTGAATGCCTGCAGGGATGGGGCATCCACAGCCTCCTTGGGCATCCTGTGCCAGTGCCTCACCACCCTCTGGGGGAAAAACTTCCTCCTAATATCCAACCTAAACCTCCCTTGTCTCATTTAAAACCATTCCCCCTTGTCCTATCACCATCCACCCTCGTAAACAGGTGTAACCCCCCTTGTGTATAAACCCCTTCCAAATATTGGAAGGCCACAATGATGCCTCCCCAGAGCCTTCTCTTCTCCAAGCTAAACAAGCCCATTTGCCATGCTATGGGAGATAATAAGCAGAGGAATTGATGAACCTCATTTCTAGGGCAGATGTTGAGATGTCAGAGCTGCAGAAACACTGCTTTAATGGCTGTAGCTGGGAAACGCAGCCACAAGGATAAGGGGTATGAAATAGAGCATCTTCCATGCTCAAAATAAAGAATTTCATACCAAGCTTGTCCTAACACATGCAAGCACATGCCTTATCCTCTGCAGCATCGGATACAAAAAAAGAAAGAAGTGCTACAAAGGCCGTATGGTCTCTGTAATTTAAAAATATTGAACATTGCTTCAGTTTAGCTTAATTGTGATGACAACTTTCAGACTACTAAAATAATTAAACCTGCTAAAATTTATTAGGGCCCTAAGGACATTTTAGAGGGAGAACTACCCTAGTCTGGAGCTTTAATGCCTCAGCTACATTTAATGTAATTTTTATCAATAACCAAGCAGCTCATAATATTATAGCTCCACTGAAATCTTCACGCTGTGAAATCTAATTCATCTAATACACGAATCCATCACTTACACAGACCCTATCTCAAACGCTATAAAACTTCCAAACCCACAGATTTGTCTCCAACAAAAATAACATGAAGGGGCCCTTCAATCAATAGCAGAATCCCTCTGATTCGGGCACCAGCTGAATATTTTCTCCAACTTTGCTTTTGTTCTTCTGGGTAGAGGCCCACAAGGGAAAGAGCTTGTTTTCACTCGCAGCCTCATCAATACCTAAATCCTGGTGAACAAGTGACACTGAGAAGCTGTAATCAATAGCTCCCTGTGCGTTTTTTCTTCTGGTCAAATGGTTCAGCACTACTGACAGCCCTGACACTCAGAACATGATGCTAAATCTTTATCAACAGCCATCTGGGTGACTGGCAGAACAAGACTCGGGTGGTCATTAACGCTCATGGCAATCTGTGAATAAACTAACTCCTCAATAATGCGTTTGTTTAGAAAAAGGTGGGGAAAAAAACTCCCTGCACAAGGTATCGATTGCCTTAGAACTGCATTTAGCAAATTCCGTCTGAGGATGAAGCAGTGCAGCGCTCCGCTTGTTAAGAGTTTTCAATTTGACGCCACGGAAAACCGGCCGTCCTATTATACTGCCTGATGGACTGGAGACTTGCAGAAAGCTGCCAAACTGTCAAAAATAGATCAGCCGGGCCATAATGGGAACAGCTGAAATATCAAGTTATAACATACAACACGAATCACACTTAGCAAAAAATAATCTTTCAGTTTGCTCATGTCCTATCGCTTCTGCTCCCCCTGTTCCCTCACAGAAACAAACACCGTAATGCGAACCAGCATGGGTCCATCTTTATTGCTAGCCACCTCAGGAATTAATGCACAAGTGGTTTTATGTGTTTGCAACATTTCAAATCCATACTTCACAGTCTTCTCATAAATGCACAATTACTCCTTTCACTCTCAAACGTTTAAACTGTTTTGCCTGAATAATATCCCTGACTTTCCACAGCATCATGGCAGACACTTAGCTTGGCTTTAACCTAAACAACACCACTGGATTGAATATAAAAAACGTATGTAGCTGTTACTGCTGTTAACAGAGTGCTGAAGACGTCTTATTTAAGCCACAGAACAGTCATTTAGGATGGCCTTGGACTAATCAGCCCAACATTCGCCATTTCCCATGAGTCTCTGTGATTTCTTTTTGATCCTCCTATACTAGTCTAATGAGATTTTTAATTGAACTTTATGGGTTCCCTTTGAGGACCACAGACCTTGCAGTCAATCTGAACTGCAGTAAAGTATTTGAAGTTTTTCTTGCAAAAGGTGAGCCATCCCCATCATGTCCTTGGCATAAATTGAGGCAGGGATGTCGCATCTTTCAGCTGCTGCTGGCACCTCTTCCACCTTCTCATAAATTTGAAGGTCATTGTATGAATTATGGGGAGCAACCCCACTACAAAGGGAGACCTGTAGAATGCACACTACCAAAATTAAACACCGACCCATGATTTGTAGAAGGGAGCAACGTTGTGGTACTTCCTGGAAAAACAATAAGGTACACAATTTCATCACAATATTTCACTAATAGCACAATGTCTGCATCCAGCTCCACTTTATTTCAAGCCCTCATTTTTACCTATATTGCTGTCCTCATTAAATCACGATTATAATACAGTCACCATGCTATGACTCAGTCCTTTAATCAAGGAAGCATCTCAAGGTGCAAACAACTCAACAATTTTGCACAGCCTCTGCAGTGATCATTAATAACAGCATTCACTAAAGATTGGTTTCTCTCCTGTGATCAAAACCCACTAATCTGTTGCTTAACAGAACATCACATTTCTGCTACACTACTCAAACCCAGAATTTGTATCTGGAAGCTCACGTTACAGGTGGAGCAGCTGCTAACACCACAGTTCTTTGAATTCTTTGCTGCTGTTTTAATGATGCTGTGGCTTGCATGACGTGTTCAGTTTGATGATCTGTTGAGGTAGATTTAAAGCCCAATATGTCATCTGATCAACAAACTTCAAGTGTGCTCGTACATGAAAATGTCCACAGGTATTCCAAAATTCGATACATGCAGCACACTGCCATATAAACAAGCATAACATCTAATGGATTTAAGCTTCTAAGCTCCATAAAGAAGTATACAGTGGTATTTTAAGTGTACATCAGCTTTTCATACGAAGCAGTTCGTATGAGCAGCATAAAGATGCGTTCCGTCAATACACCGTATTGCACTTGACAATACAAACTATTTTAATATGATGGAATGCTTTCCAATATAATCTGGTGTACATTAAGAGAAGGTAATACAATGCAAACCTGCAGGAAACAGTTCTCAAAGAATAACAATACAGTGTTGTGCAAAAGGATACGTAATTGCTATTGCCTAGAAATGTACCCTGCTTTGCCCTCAGGCTGCAGTGGAGCAGCAGCATCCAAAGCAGCAGTAACAGCAGGTTGTGGTGTGAAAATCCCTGCTTTTTCCCCCGTGAGGAAGGATGAAAATAGTTCTGAAAATAGACAGCAAAGCTACTGCAATTTGTTCTTAAATGGGATCCTATCTTATTTTTGTTATTTCCCATCCTTGCTACGGCTAGAGTGGTTTCTGTCCTGAGAACATTTTTAATTGTAGTATAGATACTAATGTATAGCTTCAGGGAAAAAAGAGCTCTATTAATATAATACTACTCCAATATTTCATTATAGAAAGCAAGCTGATGATACCATAATGACATCCTTGCCTGTTCCATATTTTTATTACTAGACATCTCCTGTAGTTAATCGGTAATTTCATGCATGTTCCACGTGCAGTCACAAATACACTCCTTATGTACTTCACTGGGAGCCCCTTTTCACCAAGTATTTTCCATATATGCCCTCCTTCAGACCTATGAGTCATGACATGCAGCCTGACTATGCATAACATGCAGATTGATTTTATGAATGAAACAAAATACAAAGACAGTATGTGGTGGCAACGCGAAAAGCCCCCACCTGTATTATTTTCGTATGGAGAGCCACCAGGTTTTCTGAAAACAGGTTCCTGAATCTGCTTTACAACTACATGTTGCAGTCTTGTATGTATCTCATTAAAGAAAAAAAAAACTGGGAGAACTGAATGCAGAAACAACAGAGAAGGTCAAAGATTATGGCAGGTGCAATGCTGGAGAAGAGAGGCATTTGGGTATGGAAAGATGCATGTTGCTAAGGGCAAGTGCTAATGAGGGAAAATACAGTGAAGAATGGCCAAAAAAGGCCACAATGATATTAACAGAAATCTAAGTGGTTGTTGTTGTTTTTTTTTTCCCTACTTTTTTTAAAGGCAAGGAAGGAGGGAATGTGTAAAGCCAGGCACAAGGGCACTCTCCTCCCTCCCTCTCCTTTGCACAGTGACAAAGCAGTAACGCAGGGTGAGGAACCAAGTTCCCTCCTCCTGCCGTGCAATGATATTCTCATTGCAGCCCAGACACTCCCTAATTCAGGACTGAGCTTCTTCCAAGGGGATCCAAACAAGGCCCAACCAGTGGGCCCACATGTAGCAGCAGTGATTCTCACCAGTTTCACTTGGGAGTGATCAGTGCGTTTCTGGTGCATGAGTCACATCTGAAAATCCAGACCCTGACAATCAAAAGGGAAAGATAATTACTGGGAAAACGGATGGAGAGAGTGAGTACTGTAACACATGGTTTCTCCTAAATTAACAGAACTAACCTAGAGTTACTCTCAGCTCAGGTGACCCACCTTTATCTATCCAATGGAGAAATGCCATTTACATCTTATCTCCAGTGCAGAGCAAAAGACTGTGTTAAAGATCCAGGTGTGCATTATTGACGTGAACTGAAATCCCTCCTCTTCCACACTTTTAGAAGTCCATCTCTAACAGCAACCCATCCCATCCAGTAATGCTTCCACAGCTCCTCATGTCCTGACAAAGGATGTTGGTGCTGAGTGATAAAAGATTTCCCTCCCCCAGTATGTAAGAAAGTTTGAGAGCAACAAAACATGTATAGCCTGATGAATTAAAAGAAGTGCAGTGTTCCTCTTCCAAACCTAACACCATAAATGGTAGGGCATAAATCACATTAAACTGGGTTGTGCATTATTGCTGATTAAAAACACTTACTGACCTTATTACTCATGGTAGACCAGTTTTCATAGCAGATAAATTTAATCTAATGACATTTAGCCCAGAAAGCTCTCTAAATCCACAATCTTCCATCAACTTTATTTGAGAGTTGACACGAACTTACAGGGTTGCTCCTCATTGCTCCTCCCACCGCTCTTGCTGCTCGGCTGTTGCCTGCTTGCTCTGCTAATTGCTGGTAAGAAATGGTCTCTCCAAACTTCACTTCCCTCAGCAGGGTCCACAACACCTCTCTGGTGAACGAATCTGCAAATAAAGAGAGGACTGTTGGTATGCATGCATGGCTGGATAAACAAGGGGACGAAATACTCCAAGCACCCAGCGTGAAGCATAGCCTCGATAGCAGCCCTCTAACTTAAATTTAAACAGCCCTGAGACACCGTCCTGTTATTGTGTCCCATATTACTATATTTAAATACATGATTATTAGAAAGAGGGCTTCAAGTAACCGATCACTATAAAAAAGGATTTAAAGCTTTGATTTTCCTATATTTTTAATTTGCTTCAAGTACAATTATCCTGTTACCACATACAACGCGGGTTTTCCATTAAATTGGCAGAGCATAAATTAGCACAGAGTCAAATTAAAAAGGGAAGAAATAACCGGCTCTACCTATTTCACAAAGCCCTCGCATCTCCAGCTAATTTCCAACTTCAGCTGGGACACGTGGCAGAAGAAGCCCTAGAGCCAGTGGACCCATATTATCCTGGCTGACTGCATTTTATAGCCGAGCCCCCCAAGCTACTGCTCAGCATTCCAGACATTACGAAACGTAAGGACTGCCTGCGACCTTGAATGTACGGCACATCCTTAATGACACGGGGCTCTGAAAAAAAAAATAATGTACCTTCCATTATTTTAATCTTAATTCACCAGCAAATTGCTTCTAAGCATTCCAATTGCTGAAATAATGAATAAGGAAATGCACGAGCTTCGTTCTGTAGCTCAGGGTTTTACCTTCCTAGCCCAGGACTGGTTGACAAAAGGACAACCAATAGCTGCTCTTAATAGGGTTTGACACCAATTGCTCTTCCAAGGCATCAGTAGAAACTCAGCAGATCTAAGCAGTGAATAACTCAGAGGAGTGAGCTGGCAAAGAAGAAAAAAAAAGGAAAGAGGCCCTCAGCTCTGCTGCGAAACTCACGCCACTCATTTGGCAGAGAAACAAACTGATTTGCAACATTTCCCTTCTTCAGTTGTCAAAAAAAGACACCGATGACGTTACATAGCAAAATGTGATTTTGTTCTTAAAGGAAACCCACACACCGTTCTGGATGCGTTAAATAATAAAAATCACTTCTTAACTCAACGGAATGATAATCACTTCATTGAAAAAATCTGTTTAGTCTTTATTATAACATTAAGCAAATTAAACATCAGCATAATCCAGGTGATACGAGAAAAGGGTCATCAAAGAAATTAACTTTGTTGTTCATTAATTTACATGGATTAGTAGAGGGCAAAGAGATAGCAAATCTGCTCCAGTTTTTTATGATATAATTTCAAACTGTACACCATTTGTGGCAGTAGGGTGACTTTGGGGTTAATCAGACTGATTTGTCCTTTTAATTGCTTTCTATTCAAAGAAAATTCATTAGATAATGTTCTCTTCAAAATTCATGAATCAATTTAACTGAAGAAACCACATTAACAGCTTTGGGTTCATTAGCACAAGCAGTTGTGTTACTAGCTGATTGCTAGGAGGGTTTCCTTAGGCAAACAGATTTTGTTTACCATCATTTCTTCAGATTGGTTTCTTTCAGACCAAGTCATAGCTTCTTATTTTTGTTACCTCTCCTCAAGCCAGCGAGATCCGTGCTGACCTGAGCCCTTGGGAGCTCGGGGAATCCCTGCCTGGTGCCCTCTCTCTGCGAGGCACACAACATGCAGGGAGCTCACGCTGCTGCTGCACCCTGCTCCCCTGTGGAGCTGGTGGCAGCGAGGCACCCACAGCGTCCCACTCCTATGCCATGAGCCGGGTGGCAGGATCACACAATCGTCCAGGTTGGAAAAGCCCTCTGAGACCCACAGCCCACCCTCTCAGTGCCGCATCCCTGCAGCTCTCAACACCTCCGTGGATGGTGACTGCCCACCCCTGAGCAGCTGCGCCAGCACCTGGCTGCTCTCTGGAGAACAAACCGTTCCTAATACTCAACCTGATTCTCCCCCTGTGGATGCGAGGCCATCACTCTCATCCTATTGCTGTCACCCGAGAGCAGAGGCCAACCTTCTGCTCAGGGCACTGCAGAGAACCTTAAGGTCTCCCCAGAGCCCCTTTTTCTCCAGACGTACAACCCCAGCTCCCTGTGCTGCTCCCCATGAGACCTGTGCACGGCTTTGTTGCCTCCACAGGATGAAGCAGTACTGGGAGCACAGCAGCTGCATCCCAGCACGGCCATGGCCAACCTGCTGAGCATCCTGCGGTCCACTACAATGAGGCATCATAGAACCAGCCTGCCTCAACATGCAGGACAGATTATCTTCCAGAGACAGCACATCTGTCATGAGAGAATACGTACTCTATCCATACCGACATAGAACACCAGAAGTTATAGTTCAAAATAATGAAATATTTAGCAATCATGCACATCATTTTATAAACGTATCTGAAAACTCAATTTCATTCTGTAGGGAGCAAATGCATTAATTAGTTTAAGCGGCTCTAACAGACACTGCCAAATACTGTTATTAAACTGTCTGCAAGTGTTAGTGCCTGTAAGCACAACCTTCCCAAATTAGATGGCTGAACTTTCACCAATTTCCAACGTGTGCCAACATTTTATGCTGCTAAGTATCATTATAAAATGCTGTAAAATCCGCACATAAAAATTAACGCCCACGTTTGCTCTATGGAAACACTCAGTGCAGTGTGAATTTCGTCTGGCTGCTAACTGGGGAGGCAACGTAGGCAGAGCAGAGGCTGAGTTGCATCCACAGGACCATCACTCCCTGTCCCCAGGCCCTTCAGTGCCCTTCTGCCAACATAAGGAGTTATGGTTCACACTGAGATCTCACCACTGCTGGACGCTGCTGCTCAGTGAAGTACCAGCAGTGTGTTGGATCCTGTATCAGGATGAACACCTCCCAAACTTCCATGGAATTAGGAGCTGCCAAAGGGGCAGGGGGACACATTTGTCAGTTGTGCCAAGTACACTGTAAGTCAACCAAAATAATGCATCATCAAGCCAAGCTGACCTGAAATTAGCACTTAAAGGTCAGTTATCAGTCCCTAAAATGGGGAGATATAGGTCAGACGCGATGAGGAAATTCTTCATGCACAGGCAGTGTGGCTCTGGCACTGCTGCCCTAAGCTGTGGGTGCCCATTGTAAGAGGTGCCCATGACCATGGCTGGGCCCTGGGAGTTTCAGCAGGTGGGGGCACTCAGCCCATGATGGCAGGAAGAGGCTGGAAAAGTTCCAACCCAACCACTCTGTGGTTCTATGGTCCTATGAAAGGAGGGACTTACACTGGATCTGCTGCTAATGCCCAGCTGCTTCAGGTCGCTCGCGGCAGCCTTAGGCCTTAATTCTCCCTAATAAACTCACTCCATCTGCATAGATAAGAGAGAGAAAATCAAATTTGCTTTAACCCTGGTGGATCATAACTTCTTTCCCACCAATTAGGAGGTGGCGATTAGCGCAGAGCAATGTGGCACAGCAGCACTCAGGCAGTGGTTGGTAATGGAAGCAGACAGCTGGGTGCTGCGGGCAGCAGGGGCAGAGCCAATGGGGACAAGGGTTGGCCTTGGGTTTGCCTCTCCTACTGCAAACCTGGGAGCAAGAGAGGTGATGCACCTTCTGATTTCACCTCGATTTTAACCACTAAAGGCCATTTCCACCCCTTCTCGATCATCTTTGTTACTGCTTTTCTGTTTTATTTTTTTCTTCTTTTCTTTTTCCAAGTGTTTCTCGTTTGTTTGTTGCTTTTTTTTTGTTTTTGCTTTTCAAATGCAAAGAAACAAACAGCACTCAGCCCTTCTCACCACCTATTCCTGTGGATAGGAAATGTAACTGCCTCGGATCATTTTTGTTTTTATCCCTATCTGTTTTCACCATAATTACTACAGCTAAAACTGTCGCAGGATCACTACACGGTTGGGCTGCAGTCATTAGTTGCTGTTCAAATATTACTAGAAGTGTAGTTTAGACAGTGTGGTGACAGCCTGTAAAAACTGTCCATATGTACCATTACAACAGAAAAAAATAGATGCAATTGCTTAAAATCAGAGCGGTGGCAAACATTTTGGCAAAGAAGAGACTCCGAACTTCTACTGTTGCCATCTTCATGAGTGATGTTAATGCATTACAGAGACAGAACGCACCTTCCTGTGAATATTAAACTCTATGGCTGCTGAAACAACAGAAGCAAAGCTGAGATCCTGGCCATTTTCCATGACTGATTTTTATGAATGAAGATGTAAAGAAAACAAAATTACTTTAGAGTACGCATTTCTGAATGCAAACAAGCAACTATCAAGCGTGCAGTTAAAAGTATAGTTCCAAAAGTGGAAAAGCTTTAACAAAAAAAACTTATTGAACATGAATAGGTAAATAAAGGTGAGATATGAGCAATATCCACCTGGGCTCTGCCCACCAATGGGGACTCACAATTACTTGAGGTTGTGTTTCTAGCCCCTGTTTGCTGAATTAAATCACTGATTGATACACATCAGGCAGCCCACGTGAAAAGCATGGGATGCAGCAGAGCCCCTGATGGCACGATGTGGGTGCTGTCCCTCAGTTGCCCACAGGTTGCAGTGCTCTGCCTTCTGAGCAGGCGTGGGAAGTGCCAAAATGTGGGGAAGGAGAATGCTTTCGCGTGTGTTGGCTTTTATACACAATACAGAATATTGACATATCTACAAGCATAATGCGTATTTACATCACTTAGGTGAAGAATTTATCAATTATGTTCAAAAAAAATCTGGATAATGTTCAGATTGGTTCACGCAATGATAAAACCCAATTAATGGGAACTGTTTCTGATCTGTAGTTTAACACAGTTTTAAATGCAGTTCCCTTCAGACTACTGAAGGGTTGTAGGGCCAAATTCTATCCTTAGAAGCAAGTAACTCTCTCTGGACTTAATCCAGCTGTATTTCTTCAGGTTAAACTCCCTGGAAGTCAGTGGGTGTTTTACTTGAGTAATAACTGTTATTCTGACCCATTTTTGAGCAATAGTTTTAATAGCAGCTTTCCATGCACTTACCAGAACAGAGTATAATTTTAGAGCTAATGGAAATGA